TATATATATATATATCCATAGTATTCAAACAAAGAGAGGGTTAACAATGTATGAATGAAGTTAAACTAAGCGTGATAAAAACACAAATTATGCCATCTAAGCAGATTTGCGACAGTTTCGGATTTATTATAAGGAGCTCCTAGATTTGAATAGCAAGAAAATAACAAAACCACGCTACAATAAGGGAAAGAGTCGATCTTCCCCTTCAGTAAATAAATAAAGCAATAATTATGAGCCCTTATAAACACAGCCAAATCACATCAAACTATAACTTGTTCTGGTCTTCACTAATTCATCAGATCTGGCATGTCTACCCATGGAGTCTAATGTATAGTCATTGTAGTGTATGGCACAAAAATTATATTAATTGCATAGCTGCCAACTCTTCCGGTTTTCCCGGAAGATTTTATTTCCATATTTAAAGTGGTAGCTAAATTTATGTTATTAAGCTAAACTTTTTGAATTATAATAATAATTATAAATGAGTTTGACCACCTGTACATATAAATAATTACAACAAATATATATAAGCATATTAGTCCTTACGACAGCAAATTTCAACCTGATTAATATATAAACATATTTTTGAGGAGGATAGTTTTTCGGTAATTGTTTTACTACCATTTGGAAAATCTATTCTCGAAAAGAGTGAATGTTGGCAGGCATGGATGAAGCATCGGTTTTATAATTTTGAGTTTTAAAAACATGTATAAGGACTGGTAACTTAATTTTTAATAGTATTTATGCCTCGTGAATACAACTTTGTTGCTCCGCATAATATAGTATAAAAGTATCCACTTTTATTTGTTCTCTGCATGCTGTCGAAGCCAGCACCAACCGATCTATTCATTTATTAACTAAGTTATCACATCTAGCATGTATCCAAACGAAGGTAGTATGCACTTTATAACATATGCGAAGAAACAATGTGAAAAACGCAGCACAAATAAAAGCACGAAAACAGGGATATTAATTATAGTTTTGGTTTCGTAATTCAAAAGTTTTAATACAAATGGAGTTTTTATGACATTTTAATTTGTACATATTTATTTATCATTATTCATACTTATACTGCCTTGTATGCTCCTTTCAAAGACCGCTTATAAGTTAAAAGAAATTAGAGAGCAGATAGCATAAATTAGAAAAAACCATCACAAAGATACATCCCCATGGAAGCTAACTGCTTCGCTTTCTGCTCAAGTTTTAATAAAATGGTAGAGAATTAAATGGTAAAACTTTTAGTAAATAGTAGAATAAAGGACAATTACGCTAAAAGTAACCTTAATTTCATTAGCACTTGAAAATACTTTTCTTACAAAGCGGAGCAAGTTGGCATCTTTGCATCTAGGGCTACGTTTCGAGTCCTTTACCCCCACATGTTTGGAGGATTTGTTAGACCGCTCGGTGAAAGAAATTCCTAATCAGTAGGAGTACTTCATTTACGTCGCACTAGAGCTGCAGAATGGGCTATTGGCGTCGTCCTGGAAAACAGCCCTGAAGATAATCCGATGACATGCCATCACAATTTCGATACTCTGTGGTGGGGACGACTAGCACACGAAGTCAAGCACTCAACAGTAGATCAGTTTAACAAGATCTAATTATATCTATGATGATTTTACAAGATCTATGATGGTTTTTCTATTTATTTAAATGATTTATGTGTAGTGGCGGACAAAATTATTTTAGTTCTAACATTAAAATAATACACTGTTCGTATGAACATATTGGGAAAAATTTTTATAGCAGTAGGAATATTAAGATGAAGAGATTTAATTAATGTATGTGGTAGCAAAAGTTTTGCATTCGTGCTCGATTCCTGTTTTAATAAATTTTATTTAATACACATTTAACTATCATTATATTTAAATAGTTTAAATATACATATAAAGGACCAGTCAGTTATTTTAATGCGTTTTAAGTGATGATGAATTAAGTAGTTGTCTACAATATCTCCTCAATAATTATTTAACCACCACTAGGTAAAAACTTTCTTGAAGAACGTAAAAGGAAGCAGTTACGTAAAAAATACCTCATCATTTATATTCGGTTAACGCATTCAGGTCTGAAAAAGAAAAGAAAAAACTCGTAGTAGTATCATTTCAATAACAGGTAATTTTCGGGAGGAGTAGATTTATTTTTAAAAATAACTATTTATTGCTTTCAACTTTATCACAGGAAATATGCGGAAACTAATAAAGAGATGAAATGGAGAACCTAGCCAGTGAGGCCACCTTGTGTAACTTGTAGAATATATAATAATATTTTTACAATTACACCTACTTTATATGTCTGCCAATAAAGTAGCATTTCATATCATAATTTGAGTTTTCGATATGTAGTGGAGGAAAAATGACTTGAAATGAAAATTACTAAACTAAAAATAACTTAAATTTCGCTACCACTAGAAAACAGGTATCACGGAAATGGGAGGGGTGCAGAGGAGTCTTAAGCCCCCTCGTATTTTATAAATAAAGGGTACCTTCTAAGCTTAGCTCCTTCTAAGATTGAAATTTTTTTCTTAATATTTATGAAATTAAATTAACAGTTATAAAAAAATGGATTCTTTGTGTCTGAGTTCCTCCCTCTAGAGATATTTCCGTAGTCACAACCAGAAAATGCTTTTTTTTTTTTTTTTTTTTATTTTTTTTTTTTTTTTTTTTTTTTTTTTTTTTACAAAGTGCAGCAAGTTGGCATCACTACTTAAGTAAAAATCAGAAGCATTAAAATACAATAAACAAAAAAATTAAATCATGAATATGAAGAAAAAAAATGGTTAAAGATTATTCTTCCAAAGTTAAATTTATCTTATTTTGTTTTAAGGGAATAGCGGAATCAGGAGCTGAATCGTTTTACTGCGGAAACACCGCCCAACAAATCGCCAAAGAAGTTCAAAGAAACGGAGGTACACTGACAGCTGAAGACATGAAAGATCATCTGACACATCCTCCAATACCTGTGCCTTCTGATGCACTTAGTATAGATTTTCACGGTTTTAGAGTCTGGGAAATGAGACCAAATACCATGGGACTAATCGCCTTGGTTTCATTAAATGTTCTTAAAACGTACGATCTAAAAGGTATGACTTATTCCATTTAGTTATTCCATTATGCAACCTGGTGCACAATCACTTCATTATTCAATTGTAATCATACGTTGCCAATCGCATCAAGTGAGCGGTTTCACCAATTTAGTTTAACTATATTGATTTGTAATTAAGATGACGGAGAAAAATACACGTTTTATAAATGGTGAATTAGAACTTAATCCATAAGATATGGTGGGTTATGTTTTATTGATAGAGACAATTTGCAAAGCTCTGTGGGAAATAGAATTCACATTCTTTAATGTTTTGGGATTAGCGAGAAGAATCCTTATCTGCGGCTAAGACAGTGATGCATGAGCCTGGCTTTATAAAATTGTACAGTCAGACAAAAAAAAGTAAACTAAAAATGTAATAAAACTGAAACTAGACTAAAAATATTATTCTGAAGAAAAAAAAACATGCAGCTTTCTGAATAAAACTAATTTCAGATTTAAAATCCCCACACCCGAATTAGGTAAGATCAAGAACTCGTATAAATGTAACAAAAAATGCGTTCCCTACTTATTATGTCTTATAATTTTTATTCTAAAATCAAAGAGAAATTATGAATAACTTTTAATCTAATGATCGGATCTTCACGTACTAGGACTCAATCTATGTCTACAAGAACTACTTTCCGAAATCCTTTATTGTGCTTGATTTTTTAACTTAAAATATACTTTGCATAAATTAATTAACGTGCTAAAGGTTATGCCTTGGAAGAATTAGGATTGAGTCCTAGTACCTGAAATTCCCATCATTAGATCAAAAATCATACAGGATATTCATTTTTCCTATTTTCTTTAATTAATTAATTTTTGCTCACTTGACAGGAAACTTTTTCAACTTTCTTAGAACAATTATAAATATTTCCCTTTCAGCTTTAGGTCATAACTCTGCAGACTATATTCATTTAATAACTGAATCTTTAAAGTACGCCTACCTGACGTGTTGGGATTATCTATGTGATCCAGATTATTGTTCAAAATCTTGCGAAGAGTTGTTGTCAGCGGAAACAGTCAAAATAATTAGGAATAAAATAAACTACAACGGGTAAGTTCAAAAGTTTATTTTTGTCAAAATACGTAATATTTATGATTTTAAGCTCGACACACCTTTACAAAAAATTAGCCCTTTGATTTCAAACAATAATAAGCCAGCCAATAACTCGGCAATGACTACAGCGCAATACAATTGTCCATTGTCACGGCTACAGTGGTTCCATATGTTGACGTGTTGGGATTATCTGTGTGATCCCGATTATTGTTCAAAATCTTACGAAGTTTTGTAGTCAGAGAAACAGTCGAAATAATTCGGAATAAAATAAACAACAGTTGGTATGTTCAACAGTTTATTTTGGGAAGAATACTATGCATTTACGATTTCAATCATAACGAAACGTTTATTAAAAAAAATAGCGTTTTTTATTTCATATAGTGATGCGCCGGCTTATTACTACAAAAAATATACAATGACAACAGAGCAATGCAATGGCCCATTATCAAGGCTACAGTGGTTCTGTGTGTTGACATGTTGGGAATATCAGTGTGAGCAGGATTATTGTTTAAAATCTTAGGAAGTGTAGTTGTCAAAGGAAACAGTCAATATAATTAAGAATAAAATAAATGATAGTGACTATGTTCAAAAGCTTATTTTTCACAGAATACTGTGTATTTATGATTTAATGTTCCTCATAACTGATGCGCTGGCCAATAACTATTATAGCTATGACTACGAAGCATTACAATGGTCCTTTGTCAAGGCTACAGTTGCTCTCGTACCCCCGTTTATATGTTGCAGTACATTTTTGGTAATTAGAAGTACCCTTTCTCATTTTCTTATTTATTTCGTAACACGTCACTCACACAATATGGTCTTTAATGAAAGGGCCCTATAATGAGATAGTGATAAGCCTTAGAGAAGGAAAAAATGGAGAGCAAAGCATGTTAACTGAAGGGGATTTTTTTTTTCCTCATTTTACATATAACATGCGAGAAGCTTTTGCTGTAATTTTCGGAAAAATGTAATTCAACTCTTAGATAGTAAAATTTTTAAAAAATGGTCGTCTATATTTTTTTTAAGATTTGAGGTAAATTTGCCTCTATAGCTACAACTTCAGTTTAAACGAAGTTTTACGTCATGTAAATCTGTTATACTGATTGCATACCTTCTGAATCATTTGTATTTGTAATAACAACAAACGAGTTTCATCTGTGAAAATTAGAGTGAAAACGAGCTAAATTTGCGACTACTTTTTAAACTTTTGTATGATCGCAAAATTGCATGTAACAAGTCTGTTTGTTCCCCGGGGAAAAAATGCGAAACTGACTGCAAAACTTTTTCATTTCTAGCATGTTTAGGAACGAAATGAAATATTTGCTGAAGAAGTGAAAAACAATATTAAAGTTCCATGTCAACTCTATATAGAGCAAGGAAAAACTTATTAACAATCACAGATGGCAACTTTTACTTTTTTCAAAAAAGCTTTGTTATATTGGTAGGGATATACCATTTCAATTAAAATTAAGTTCACATTGAAATATACTTTCCATGAGGCAACAGTACCAGGGGTGAAAGTCGGCTGTAAAACCATTTCAGTAATAGCTAGTTTTCGGTCGAAGTAAATCTATCAGGATTCCCAGATTTTTCAAGACTAATGGGAAATGCTTTAATTCAGCACTCCCTTCAGAATTACTAGTCCTAGTGGTGCAATCCTACAGTCAGCAGGAATTTTATTTTTCTTGGCGTAAAATTTTATTTCTATATATTCCTTGCATTTATTAACTTAATTTAAAATCTTTTTGACTACCACTATTTTCAAAAAATTTTAACATATATATTTATATTTTAACATATATATGCTAGTCAGCTTATATTTATATGTAATTCAAATACTTAAATGTAACGGTAGTCAAAATAAATCGAAATCATATTAATTTTGATAAGAATAGAACCTTTAGATAGTCTTTTTTTTAGAACCAATATTCTTAAGACTGCTTTTTAAAACTGAAAAAGTTAACACTTAAAACGTCGTTTCCATTCTTTTGAAAGCCTCATTCTCTATCAGTCGGGCCTCATAGAAGTGAAAGCAGCCCAGTGGTGCCTTAAAATTATCACTCTGGTCTTCAAATTTCTGTCACAAAATGTATTTTATGATTTTAAAAAGTTAACATGAAGCATTCCGGATCACCACTGGAGGGTCCAACCTACCTTAATAAGTAATTATCCATTGGTAACAATAAAATAACTGAAGGAAATAGCTCATAAACAATAACAACAGTTTTTATTGAAAACAATAATAATAATAACGAAAAAAGTTAACCCATTAAATGATTCCGAATGAATCATGATATTCTATACTTCAAAGTATGGTTCCAATTAACCATAAAATAATATTTAGTAATACGATCAATAATCAAAGTTTATAAACGAATAACAATGAAAATCGTTAGTGGCCCCGACAACCACTATAATTGAATAACGCAGAATTATAGTGAGAATAGTTATTATAACAGAAGTAACAAAAAAAGGAGAATGGTTATTACAACAGAGACGTTATTCTAACTTAATATTGTGAGAATAATGGGATACCGCAGGCGACTATAAATTTAAAAAGTGGTAGAAACTCAATTTATTTTCCCTTTAATTATTCAATCGTAGCAACCACTGTGACTTTCATTTTGAATTATTCACATTTAAAACATTCTTTGCATCGACTTCAAAGTAGAAAAACTAATAAAAATTAGCTTTAAGAGGTTGCTAATTCTAATGATGAAATTAATTTCAAATTAATTCATGTTTTTATTTAAATTTGTCTGTTTTTGTAACTCTGATTCTTCTTTAGTCTTTAAAAGTGAACTTATTGCAATCGAACAAAGCCTCGAAATTGCTCGCAACGAACGTGACTTCGGAGAACGCTGAATTCTTTCGGATAGTCTCAACACCTTAACAACTGAATACAGTTGGAGATAAAAAAAAAACTATCATTTTCATCCTTCTTAAACTTATTTCAAAGCTCCACGATGTTCATTTTCAGCGGATTCCATCCCACGTTGACATCTATGGCAAATGAGCAAGCGGGTCGCTTAGCCAAATAGGGTTGTAGTCACTCTACAGTCTACACCTTCCTTTTCCGCCCGACCTACTCAGAGAATTAATCTAAAGTCAAATCTGAAATTTGAAAGGAGTAGAGGACCTCTCCCTGTCAACATGGCTCTTCGTTTGTTCTTAACTGTGACAGAGTCTCACGAACGGCATTTTAAGATTGGCAAGAGGACACGCAAAGAGTCTCTCGTTCTTTGAGGGCAGGATGATTCTTTGCATTCTGTTCTAGATGACATGTTGAGCAGACCTCTGCAGAACACATCCTGGACTGTTTGGGTCTTTTTAGGAAGGACGTATACGCTTCTTCCCTTCTGGTTTTCGATTTTCTGAGGGGTAACAGTCTAATGGATCTTGTCTGGCATACAGGTGGAGGATAAGCCACAACAACATTTCAAATAAACAACAAAACAAAAACATTAAAACAAAAACATTTTCTGTTTTCACTTTCAAAAGTAAACTGAATAAAATATGCTATAAAAAATTGCTAATTTTAATCACTTTAATAAAATTTTGATTTTTTTAGTCACCCGTGTCAAACTGACTCGGCGAAACGAAAAAAAAAAGTTAGCATCCATTTTCAATATTAAATTAAAAACGAAAATGCTTTAAAAATTTGCAAAAATTTAATTTATTTTTATAAAATCTTAAATTTTATTAGTTAGCACTTTTACCACTTTAGGTCGCACGTGGCAACCATGTTATAACTGAATTAAAAAAAGTTATGTTACGGAAGGGGTGAAAATTTATAGCATTTAACACGTTGAGCGCGGCGTCAGCCATGGGTGGCTGACACTGGACTTTCCATTTAGGCCGTATCAACCACCGGTGGCTGACACTGAAATTACATTTAGGCCGCGTCAACCACCGGTGGGTGACACTGAAATTACATTTAGGCTGCGTCTACCACCGCTTGCTGACACTGACCTTTCACATAGGCCGCGAAAAACAGCTGACTGACAGCTGACATGATATAGAACTATAAAATTTACACTCTTTTATGGAATTTCAGAAAATTTATTCAAAATTTACTTAATTATTGTGATTCTTGGTTTATTAAATTCAATTTAGTAGATTTTTCGTATGCATATATAATTCACCATTTTTTTTTTCAGATATGTCATGCTAAACCTTTTATAAACTAGCAAAATCTGTCTATATTTGCAAATTTAGTTTGTAGTTATTTACAGTGTGGCCAGACGAGCAAGCCATGTGAAATTAGCGTGGCATTAAACGTGTTAATTGATTGCCACTGTTTTAGCAATAAGCTGAACATCACTATATCAATTTTAAGGGACCTCCGGAAACTGAGTTTGAAATTCCTAACACTTTTTTTTAACACGTTCACCCTAGATTGTCTCATCTTGGCAACGCACCGGAGTAAAAACTGGTAACAATAAATTTCATTTTTCAGTTTTTTTTCGGGAATAATAAAAATCCATAACTACCAATTGTTTTTAAAGGATGCAATTTTTATATTGAATTGCTTCTTCGCCGTGATAAATTTCCTTACAGTGAATTGTTATTGTTGAGAATAGATTAACTCCTCCCGAATATTATCTAATATTGAAACAGTTCTTCTACTAGTATTTTCTCTTTCCCGTCCTGCATTCAGGCGTTAATAACTCCAAAATGATTCTTATTCAAGTCTCAGCAACCGATTATAGTTGGTTGCTATGTATTTAACTTTGACATTCAGCCGCTCATAATTTTTAATTGCTTAAAGAAATTTTATTTATATATTGTGTAAAATAAAAGTGGTAGATACTTATAAATTTTTTATAATTAATATAGTTCAAAATATTAATTTAACGTTGTATTATTCTTGAGAAAATGAACTTAATGTGCTCCCACATTCTAAGAAAAACATTTTCGAGCACCTCCTATTCTGTAATGCAATAGTAAAATCTATGTCACAAATCTTTGACAAACTATGACCGATCTAGCTCTTTTTGAAACGCGAGGGATACCAACTGGATCCGCATTGCAAATTAATATTTTCTATTGGTAGCAAAAATGTATGTTTAATTTTTGCTAATAAACCAATAATTCTTTGTTTTGTAAATTTGATTTATGGGGCTTTCACAATCACAACTGCTTCTAAGCAATTCATAGGCTTATATATATTGCCACTTTCCTACATTCTTTTCTTTTTTTAAAAAATTGGCTAAGCTCACCGAAATTCGGCTTAGTTGTTTTATAGTTTCCTACCATTTTTAAAAATATTTTGTAGAATCCGAAGTAGTTCTCATCTCTGTTTACGGACTGGATTAGGTTCATTCTTAGCGCAACGTTATATATAAAAATAAGCTAATACATTGAAATTCTTTAACCCTTAACGGAACAGCGAATTTCGATTAAGATTGCATTTCGATTGAACTTGCACCGATCACAGTACTGACGTAAAATATCCTCGGTGGTAGACGGATCATGTGTTAGAGTCCGTCATGTGTGGAGGTTTTCCGCTTCATGTAATGCCAATGAGAGTTAGTTCCATCAAAAAATCCTCCACAAAGGTAATTTTTTCCCAATACCTGATACAGAAGTTCCCTTGTCTTTTGGATTGGGTTCAAAATTACAAGTTGTGCATGATTATCTGTAAAATATGCGCCCTCGGTGATTTTCAAATTTAGTATTGCGCCCTTAAGGACAAACAGGTTGCCNTTTCAAGAACAGCAGTTTTATTTCTTATAATTATTAAAAATTTTATGTTTCTAGCATCTTATTTATTCTGCGATTTGGTGAAAATTCATGGTTGCGATAAAGGATTTCAAACACTGCATTTCTTATTCCAATGCAAAGCAATTACAAAAAAAATGCATTCCTGTTAACCCTTTCCGGTGCAGTTTGACAACAATGTTATGAACCACTAGAGTTGTAATCATTGTTGCAACAAATATTACGAACCACTTAAGTTGTATAACTGTTTTCAAACGTTTGGCAACAACTATTCTATAAACAGCAGAGAGCATATCACTTTACTGAAAATTTAAGTATTATCTAAGGTCGCTATTGTCTTGCCTGACTAAAATTTACAGTCGAAATTTATTGTTCTGGAAAGAGTTAAAAAAGAGATGCCAACTTGCTCCGAGCAGCGGATAAACATTTTCGAGTTGTAGACTTTTAAAATATGATTCTTGATTTAGTAAATTCGATTTAATAGGGTTTTCCCTTACTTCAAAAAAGTGTTTTTGAGGTTTCTTGAGGTTGACAGGTGTAAAAAAATACACTTAATGAGGTATACACTTTGTACACTTTGTTTAATACACTTTGTACCAAAAATAATCTCATCAATTAACTTCAGTTTCAACCTCATATATAACTCAGCAATACTTTTGGATGAAATCGGGTGAAATTATTTGCATCTCAAATACATTTATTTGTTTGAAGTGAAGAAAAAATGATGCGTACACTTCCAAAACAATCTCTTTCTAAGGTAGATTTCTATCAATCTCAAAATTATCTCATACACCTTGATTTTAAACCTTGGGAGGTTCATTTTTCAAAGTTATTTTCGAAATTAACTTCGACCTTAAAACCTCAAAATCAACCTTATAACCTCAAAAATACATTAACTCACCACTTTAAAAAGTGGTAGCAAAACTACTTCATTTTCACTCTGTTTCACAAAAAAAAGAAGAAAAAAAATTCATTTGTGATTACCACAAACATAAATTATTCATTTTGTAAGTAATCAGTACAACAGTCGCTCGTCGCAAATTTTTTTTTATAATTGAAGTTGTAGATATGGAGACAAATTTGTTCCAACTTTTATGAAATCTTGTATACTATTTTTAGAAAAAAATTTGATCTATAACAGCAATACTTGCCCGCATGCAATGTGTTAAAAACACACTCTGGGACAATTTGAAAACATAGCTTATCATGGTTTTTATGTCAAACCGTTCAATTTTCTTTTGAATGTTTATTTCAGAAGTGTATTACGAGGAAGTGTGCCGCTGTCTGGGGGATGTGATACTTCATATGTGGCAGCTGTTGATGCAGAAGGGAACGGGTGCTCTTTCGTCTGCAGTGTGTCATCGAACTTTGGAACGGGAATCATACCTGATGACTGCGGATTTGTGTTACACGTAATAAAACAATTAGATTTTTCAAGAACCTTATCTATCTTGGATAAAGCTAAAAAAAATTATCAAACTTTCTCCTTTAGCAGAAATTGTGTAATAAAGAGTAACAGTAACATGGTTCCGCAACACTCTCAGAAATAAAATTTTTATTTTTGACGATTCGGTGATCCTTGTGCAGTATTTCGTTAATTTTGAGAATCGTTTCGTCATAAAATCATGTGATTTGTGACATACCGCGATCTCACAATCTATGACGAAAATGTTTCCTCAACTCGGAACCTCATCCATAGCCACCGAATGGCTGTGGATGGTGGCTATGCCTCATCACGGTGTATGTGGGAGATTATTAATTAGAATGAAAAAACTAGAATGAAGACTAGACGATCGAATGACGAAATATTTCTTAACTTTTAATGAAATTCGTTCTCTAGATAAAGTGACGATAGTCATTTCGTCACTTTGGCGAAATGTTTGCTTGGAGCATATACATGGAAATAGTTTCGCCAAAATTAAAAAAAAACTATGAAATTGAAGTATCTATTTTTTCACAATTAATCTAGCATAAATGCTTTAGGACTGATCCATTATATTACGATCCTCCTATAGGTTCCTTTTTCTGAGGGGTAATAAAATAACTTTAAATTGACGAGTGAGAGGATAGTTCTTAAAACATAATAATAATTGCCATCATTTAAAAACATCCCCACTTGATTTTCAGGGGTTTCATGTATATGCGTGAACTTTTGAAATCAAATGTATTAAACAAAGAATCAAATAATAAAAACATTAATTTGGCCAATTCTTTAAGTATTTAAAAAAAATTCTAAAACAAAAATGATGAAAATATGCCACACTAACAAAACAACATTCCTTAGCCGATTTACAATGAGTGAAGTGAATATTTCGGACTACTAACCACCACATTGACTATGAAAAATCTCTGAGCCTTTACTCAATGAGATTTAATGGTAAATTATTACAAGGAGGCTTTGTCCTCTGCTTAGCAACCCTTGAATTTGTTTGCCTAAAATAAACCAGAGTTCGTATGCACCTGGAAAAACTTAGAAAGTTGTATCAATTTATTTATTGTTACACATAGATATGCTGACTTGTGTGCTCATTACAAAGCGGCTTATAGGTCTTTCTCAAGTTGAATACATAGCATAAATTCGAGATAGATACATCCGGGTTCACAATTGTATTCAAACCACCTACTTCCAGGCTACTGACTGTTTGACGGATAGGCAAAACGGCTCGGCAATGGGGGCGCCGGTATGAATATATTGTTATAAAGAAGTTGATAATCATAGTTTTCACTTCAGAATTACAAAATGAAAACGTAGAGTATAGATCTACATTAAGCTAAAATTTATCAAAATATTATGGTATTTACAATTATAATATAACATAATTTTTTTATATTAGAATTACCACTTTTTAATTTTTTCCAGGTGCATACGAAACTTGACGATAAACACCAGGTTGCCAACTTCTTACGCTTTGTGGGAAATTTTTTTTCTAGTAGTAGTAAATTTTGCTTAAATGGATGATTGTTTATCGAGTAATTTTGATTCAAAGTTATTTTCCACACAACAAGATGTGATTGGTTCAAGAGTTTACATAAAACCCACTTTAATCCAGCTACCTCGCGGTGAAACTTTTAAAAATATCGGCAAAATTACCAAAAATTTTGAATGCTTTAATTTGTAATTGTCTACTTATTCAGTAAAATATTTTGCAAAAAGTGTAGTAGTTGGCAACCCTGTAAACAAATAGTTCCTTCCGAATTAAAAATTGTGTAACTAAAAAGTACTAAAGTTTTAATTGTATTTAAAATAGTTTTTAAATACATAATTATTAAAAAGATTTTTGAAAGTATACTCTAAAATTATTCTATTGTTCGCTCAAACAAACCAAGCCATTCCCAAAAACCTGTTTCCCAATTCTATTGTGATAAAGTGCTCGACTAAATTAATTTCCTCAGTCTTATACGTTTATCCGTTGCTCTCTAATTTTGCACTAGTGTAAAAAGCGTCTTAAAGATAACAGTGGCTGTGGGTTTGCATACAAATTAAATAGACATTTCCTTCAGTGAGCTACTCATTTTGTTTAAAAAAAATGCAACAGATGTTTGATTTCAGAAGGAGATATATACAGATTTGTCTAGGACGACGAGAATTTCATAAATATACTAAATGGGGTTAATATTAGCAACTTTTTTTTTTAGTTTATTGAAACAGAGATGGCAAACTGCTCCACTTTCTGAAAAAGTAATAATAAATTGATTACAAATTAAATAGTAAAAGTTGTAAAATAAAGATAATTACGCCCATTCTTTAAAAGTGTCACTACAAGATGACTGCAATAAATTATCATTTATATAAAACTTTGAATTCTCTTAGTATAAGAAGAATAATTTAATTCCATAACCACTAAAAACTATTTTTTAGAAAGAGAAGGGAGTTGGTAGTTTATTTAATAATATTAATTTCAGATTAATAATGAAGTTGATTAAAAATAAGAAGAATTTTAAATGTAAATAATAGTGGTAATTACTAATGAGTGGCTTATGAAATAATTAAAATATATGTGTATGAATTGAGTTTCCACCGCTTTGTGCATTTTTCGTCACCAGTGGCATTCTTATATACATATCACATGATATCTAATTTTTTAAAATAATAAATTTTGGTGCATTGTAATATTCTGTTCTACAAACTGCAAGTTTTAAGAATGAAAGATTTGAGTTAGCACTTTGAAAAAGAGACATGTTCCAATCGTGGAACATAAGCATTTAATCAAATGAAAAAGTTTACTGAATGATTTTTGAGCATAAAAACTTATTTTCCAGGATAGAGCAAAATATATGAGCTTGGATGGAGAGAGTAATAATGCCCACGGACCATACAAACTTCCACTTCATAGTATTATTCCTGCTCTAGTCACAGATGTTAACACCAAGGAATTGGTAGCAGTAATGGGTGTAATAGGCAGATGGATGCAACCTCAAGGTCATGTTCAGGTACTTAAAATCTTATGTTTTTGTAGTTCGCGATGCTCAATATTTAAATGTTCAAACATATTCATATAAATTTTAAAAAATGACTTAATGCATAAATGCATTATTTTGTATTTTAAAATATCGTCGATACTAGTTAATTAGCATATTTAAGGCAGGCTTCGTGACAAACTAGCCTTCGTGGAAGACTTTTGATGGAATTAACCAGCATTTGCGTTACATAGAGAAGGATAACGCGAAATCCTTCACAGTTAGCCAGACGGTTTGAGGATTCTAAAAGATGATCAGTCTGCCACTGAGTTTATTTTACATCAACTATGTGGTCTGTGCGAGCAGGAAGCAGAATTCGTAAAAATTAGCCACTACTGGAATTCGAACCTGGGTTACCTCATTGGGAGGCTAAAGTTCAAATCACTGAATCACCGCGGCTCTTAGTCTTATTTTTCCTCCATTTAAATAATATATTTTCAAGTGCCGAAATATATTTAGAATGAATGGTTCAGAATTTATATCTTATTATAAGTCCGGAAAACTGTACTTTTTAAAAATAAACAGCAGGGCAATGCAAACAATCGGAGGTATTCCCGCCACGGTAGCACCACTCGCATATTAAAATAGGTTTGTGGTTAAAATGACCGCATCTTTCGTGCTTTGATAAATTCAATGCTTAATGTTTTTCGCAAAATATTTAATTAATTTATAATAGAATTTGGTAAGTTGTATAATTTTTGCATCAGAATATATTCTGCGAGTTTTAGGAGTTGCAGAATATATTCTGAGTTTTAAGAGTCAACATGTTCTGTGTGCTTGTAAAAAAAAACCTGTTTCATTTTCATATATAAGATCTTCAATTTGAATATTTTAATAAGTTTTCTTACCAAGTGCATTCTTTGAATTATGTAAGAATAATTAAACCAGTTTTTGTGAAAGTTTTACAGTGATATTCCCCCTTAAAGCTCTGAATGCTTGCAGTGTTTAATACAACTTAAAATAACTTAAGATTTAATAATCCAGATAAAAAAAATTAGGTAAAATAATTAAATTTAAAATTCTGATTTCTTAATTGTTAATTGATTTTTTTTTTAAAGTTATCACATTGTTAATAAAAATAAAATAAATGGTAAATAAAATAAATCGTAATGAATAGGTAGTTTCTGATTTTTTAAAAAATTAAAATCTTGAAAATTAGTCCAAATACTTGCAGTATAATTCCTATACCATAAGACTATTTAAAAGCATACTAATTCATATATGCACCATCGTTTTAATTAACTACATGTTAGCGCAATGTTTTAATTGACTACGTTTTACACCAATTAACAATATTTTAACTATCAATTACATTTTAAAAAGACAAACAAATATTTTTACAATTTTTCTTCTCCTGTTCTAAAAAAATATTTTTTATGAAAAATTATTTTTTGTCCTTAACTAATCAATAACGTAGCGTTTTATTTAATAACGTTTTGCTTTTAACCATGTTTAAAAATTACTACTTTATTGATTAATAGAATTTTTCCCTCGTTATTTTTCTACTATTTTAAACAATATAGTTAATAACAAAAAAAATTGGATTGTGTATACAGGGTGATTCTAAAAAGATGGGCAAAATTTTAGGAAGTGACAGTACATACCCAAGCAAACAATTTTTATCAAAGAATGCATGCTCGAAAACTAAACGCAAAGATGCTGGCGCATTTGGAAAGTTGTTTGATGCAAACGTGAAAGCTCCATTTCTGTTGCGAGTTACTGCACTGCGTTACTTGTCGCCAAGCTTTCGGCAGCTGCAGGGAAAGTTCGTGATATGCCTGGTGTGTTTCAGAATGTTGCCTATCTTCTCTTCGACGTTGTATTACGTGCATAGCCGCTGCCGGCCACTGTTTTGAACACTTATTGTAATCACATGCCATTAAATTTGCTTTTATAACTTAACTTCATCGTTCTTTGTGTGTTTTTGCCTCATATAAGAACATAAACTTTGACGCCCTCTAGCGGTTTGTTTTCGACCATGCATTCTTTGATAAGTAAAATGTTTGCTTGGGTGTATACTATCACTTCCTAAAATTTTGCCCATCATTTTAGAACAACCCTGTATAATTAAGAGTAATGAATCAATTGACTATTTTGGATTTTCAAATACATTTTATTTTCACATTTAATGTGGTAGCGAAATTTTTACAGTCAAGCTTAATTCCTGCTTAAATAAATTTAATTTAATATACTTCTTACTACCACTACATTTAAAAATACATAACGAAGACAAGCTAGTTATCTTATTGTGCTTTTGGAACCGATCATCAGCTACGCAGCCCTTGCATGGAGCACAACCACTGTTACTCAAAAAAAGAAACTGGAGATTACTCAAAATAAATTCCTCAGATATATCACTGGAGCCCCCAAATCCATGAGAATGAAAGATCTAAGGCGAGATTTAAAAATCAACAAAATAGATGAGCACGTAGCTGAACTATATGCAAGTTTCTTCAGAGATGTACTCTCTTGTCATACGTGCAATTACTTTAAAAATTTTGTTTTTGAGCTCATCAAAGACAACATAAAATATAGCACGGCAACCGCCTTTTTCCTATCCGACGAAGTTTTGTCCCGTAAATTTTGTAAATAACTGTAAATACTTGTAAATTATTATGTATTTCTCCTTTTCTCTAAGGCTATGTGGCTACTGTGCACCTGAGAAGCTCGGGGTAATACCTCGAACAGAGGCGTGGCAGTCTGCCACAAAACCTCTTCTCTCTCTTAAACTTGTTTGTTCAATCTCACTACTTCATTTTAATTTTCTCTCAGTAAAAGATACTGAACCCCAACTTTCACCTTTCAGTTGCGCTTCGGCGATTTATTATTTATTTCCATTCAGATTAATTAGTTAGAGCCCCTAGCGGGGCAGATGCTAAGATAACTATCACATATGAGTATGAGTGCTTTTAGATTTAAAAGCCACCATAATGTTGCTTATATCAAAATGTTTTTAAATCATTGTATATAATTTCACGATGTATGGGTTAGGGGCCGCTGCGCGGCCCAGGCACCCAATTTTTGCTAAATAAAGGAAAGTGCTTTTAGTGAAGGCAAAAAAAATGAATCAAGTATTTACCTGTAATATCACTTCAATAGTTATTTTACTACCACTGGGAAGAAAAAAAAACTCTTTACGAATCTCCTAATAGTTGACAGGTTTGCAGTTAAGAATAGTGTATAAACTTTTGATAGTAAAAGTAAAAGCTAAACAGCTTAGTCCATTGTTTTGTTTATAGGTTTTACTGAACATGGTAATCTTTGGAATGGATCCTCAGGTGGCGTTGAATCAACCAAGATTTTTTGTCGGTGATCCTAGACCAAATGTGACCTATCAGTAAGCAACATTTTTTTTAATCAAATTTGCTATAATCCAAAATATTTGCTTCATAAAAGTAACTTTAAGAAAATTTTGTTCTGCCTCATAAAACAACATAGTGATAATCGAGTCAAATGCATAAAACTAAAACGAGTGGTAAAAAATCATAGCATCCAAATTTCACGCTTCTTTGTAGCACTTAACCCTTTAACGTAGATGTAACACCGGTGTTCCTATAGATGTATTTTTCGTAACGCTCTAGTTACAAGCAAAAAAATATTTTGGTATTTTTAAAAATAGTCTAATATTTTCTAAAAAAAAATTTGTTAGAGCATTGGAATTATATTTGTACTGAAATAATAATTTAAAAAAAGCAGTTTGAAGATTTTTTTGCTTGTTTACATTCAAAAATGTATCAATATTTGATTTCGTAAATTAAGTTAATTTCAATCATGATGTTCCCCTTAGATCTGAATAACTGCAAATTTGAAAAATTATTGTTTGGAAGTGAGCCGTGTTGGAAAGATTTTACCTTTAATGCAGAAAAGGACACCGGTGTATTTCGTAACCCTGAATTATTAAAATGCTTGATGCAATATTTTTCTCTTATTTTAGCCCAAATTAAAACAAAATAATGAAAAGTATGTTTAATAAAAATTCTTCGTCCAAGGGTTTACTCTTTCAGGGGTGGTGGCATAAAAACTGCCCCACAATGTTCACCGCCCTCTATCTTTTAAACAGAGAGTCTTATAATCAACCATTTTTTTTATTTTAAAAAATGTAATTATAATAGGAGTCGTTTCAGTCTGAATATGATTACATGGCTACAATTCTTTTGTCTTTTATTTCCTAAATTTTTTGTTTGAAGTTTGCAGTCCCGTAAATTGATAAATAAACATCTCATAGTTATTTTATAAATCAATCAGGTTCGACTCACACAGGTTCAGGTGTCCAATTAAATCTGGTACAAAAAAAAATTAATTCAGCGTGATTCCCAGCCCTTAAAGCTGTACCGTTAATACGACGTACACAATCACGTAATTAGACTGAACCATATCATCCGTTGCAAGTATACAATTGCATAAAAACTGAAATGTGTAGTGTGAAACCGATTGCAGATTTGAAGTCAGCAACGCGAAATTATCATAAGATCAGTTTAAAAAATCTTATTCAACAGAAAAAAAATTCCCAGTATTATTTACATTTTACTACATTGAATCAAACACTTTTTACCAATTGTGTTAATTTTTCAATGTTATATAAAACAATAACTCACAAAATTTTAATTTCTGTAAAATTGCGCGCTTTTTTGTTGTATTTTTGCAAAAGAAAAATAAGTAAGTAAAACTCGAAGTTCCCAAAAATATTTTGCCAGAAGAGTGCACGTAACAAAGGAAAGAAAAAAACAATCCTCCTTTGCATCAAAATATTTTAAAAAAGAACTTTAAGGAGTCGGGGCCTCCCTGGTCGATCGAGTCTCGCCAATCGGCCAAACATTCTGTAGCGAGGAGGTAGCGGGTTCGAAACCAGTCATAGCCTTTGCTGCATATTCATGATCACCTTCTCTAATTTCTGCTCTATGTTATACAAAAGGTGTCCTTGTAATAAGACTGCATGTCTGTAAAAATAAAAAAAACGAAATAAAAGGAACTTTTAAAAGGTCAAACTGTCAAAAAGAAATTTAGTTTTGCTTCGCTTAAAAATGAACTTTTTGCTAAATAAAAAGAACCATTATTTTAAATAAACGCTAAGCACAATCGAGTTAAAGCAATTTTAAATCCATAAACTCTTTAAACAAAATATTCCATTTTTCAGAACTTCCTTTAACGTCATCTGTCTTGAAGGTGGTATTGACGAAGGGGTCATCACATCTCTGCAGAAGAAAGGACACACTGTTCGCCAATACACACAGCACAAAAGAGAAATATTTGGTAAAGGACATGTTATAGCACGTTCCACACTTTTTGACAAGGATTCTGATGCCAGAAGTCGACACAGTTGGTGGTCTGGTGCAGATTATCGAGTGGATAGCAGCGCAATGGGATTTTAAATGTGATTCAAGTTTTTTTTTGCAATTAATGTTACAATTAAATAAATTTTATAGAAATACTTCAATACTATTCATGTAATAACGATTGTTTTTCCTTCACAAGTTTCAAGAACATATAATCACTACTTAAACCAAAGGATTACGCTTATTCTTCATCAGGAGAGCTAGTTTAAACGTTTTAGCAAACAAATTTTTTATTCAACTTGATATTATGAATATATAAAAAATAAAAAAAACGAAATAAAAGT